TATGTAGGGTTGTGTGGACCCCAGCCGATTAGCCGTTTGTATTAGTTGTGTGTAGTGACTCTGAAATTTGTGGATGGAGTCTTGCAGGAGCCATGATATGTCAATAAAGATCGGGTCACCGACACGTTGCCAGGCTGTTGTTCCAGCTCTGAACATCGTGGACCTGGGCCGCTCAGACACGTCTGCCCCCTACCTGTGTGTGACCTTAGGTGACGAGCGAAATTGCTTGACGTGTCGGTGACTCCGGAAATTATGTGTGAAGGAGCCTTTTACTGTAAATCCTTCAAGATAAAAGCAAACTCCGAAAGATCCTACAGTATATACCACGATGGGTGTGGGTCAAAACCTTTGGGGGCCCCTGTCTCAGACAAGCCACGACAAGCTTGATTTGCGCCACATTGTGCCACAAAACCACGACACGCTTCAGGTGATTTCTTGTGACAGCTGTGACCAAGGTGTGACCTTGCTGCGATCGCCACAGCTGACTTGATTGCCAGAGAGTTGCGAACCCAAAGTGAAATTGTGAACGGCACGTTGTATGAATTTTTCTCTTTAACACGACCAAACGCGCTTGAAGTGCTCTTGGCATCAAGCTGGCTTTATGTAGTGTTCAATTCGAGGTTCTTTGCCGCTGGACCAACCAATGCACCTTTGGTACCTCGATGGCAATTGCGACTCCATCTCCAAAGTGTACTGGGCACCCTGTTGTGGTTCCTTTGGAGGGCAGCACTTTGCCCTCTGGTGGGGCTTCCTTGAAGATGCGTGAGCTATCCTGTGTGCGTTCTCTAGTAGCAGGTTACCTAGTAGTTTGTTTAGCCCAAGGGCGGGCTAAAAACAACAGAATATACTAAAACATGTTTTCAATTGTGGGCTCTGCTCAGTAAGGTTGGCCCGTTTGGGGCAACTGACTTGGCACCTCGATTGCTGAAGCGTTTCTTCGAGGTGGGAGGTGTTGAACTGTTGGGCGTGTTGAACAATCGAACTAAGTAACAAGCTCAACTAAGTTAAGGTTCAACATGTTCTATTTTGTTTTGGTTCCCAGATGTTCGGAAGAAAGCTCAAGTGAATTGGATCATAGGGACAGCTTTCACCATTGACTGTTTGGATCTACTGTGTGGTTGATGTGATGTAACACCTTCAGGTTTCTGGTGTAGCCCAAAACATCTACGTTGTGTGCGGGGCGGGGCATAAATTAATCAATCCCAAATCTATTCAACAACTTGATTTGATTGAACTGATTCTGGCAACTTTAGGGCGCCTTTTGACACACCACTCATTGCGCTTGAAATCCTGCTGCCAGATATTTGCGGAGAAGCGGAACGGTGTGCCAAGCGCTTGCCCGACATGTGTTGGAATGTCAGGCACTTCCTGCTCTATATTGTACTATAGTGCAGCGTTTTCCTAGTCTGCCGCTTTGGAAGACATCCTCTACCAACTGGCATGCACAGAGCAGTGTACAGAACTGGTGGATATCCGATATCCTTTGTTTGAGGTGTTTCCCAGAGCAGCTTGTTTTCTTGCTCATTCCACCAGGCAGCTGTGCAGCTGCATGCCATTAGGGCAAAGCTTCGAACTGCAACGGCCAAAGATGTGGAGGTGCAAACTTGTGAAAGGAGCTTTTGTCGTCTAGAGAGCAATCTAATGCAATCTTTTTATTTGTTCCTTTCTCCTTTCTCGGGACTTTTGGACAACTTGTTCCTTTTCTTTAAGTTGGAGCCCCTGAGCCCCTTGGTTTGTTTTGCAACTTCTGCTCTTCAGGCATACGCCAAGATTAACTATGACGAGTTGCTGTCCTGCCTTCCAGAGGACCTGATATTTCAAGTCTGGCATCCAGCATCCAGTTTTCGGATTTATATATATATATTTGTATATATGGGCTTGCAATGTCTCGAACCAGGGGTGATAGTCGGATTTTGAATACCCACATAAGTTTTTAGCAGCTACTGTACATACTGTGGTAGCTATTCTTTTTTGACTGCCATAGTTCGAACGCATCTGCACAGCCTATGAGAATCTAGTTTGGACCCCCAAACACTATACGCCAAATGCTATCCTAGAGGTATGGTGGAAGCGGTTATTGTTCGATGCTGGTTGCGAAGGATACAGGAATCGATAGCAATGTTCTGACTGCACAGGTGTGGGGGGAAACGGGACACTTTGGAGTTGGAGAGGTTGAGACATGCAACACGCGCACGGCAGTGGTAATCACTATTCACTTGGTGGCAGGCAAAGGCTTCCATGTGACTCCAACTTGACCACTTGACAATTAAGTCTCAAACTTGAAACGGAGTGTAGGGCGGTTCTCCAAGGAAGCTCCCCGTTCTGTTCGGGTGAGTTTCCTGTCCGTCGTAGTGTACTACACAGCTTCCTGTAGTTAAGCAAGTTCAAGGTTCCTAGATTTCCCTTATCTCTCCTACCTAGCCCCGCTAGCCCTCTGCCAAATACAGATGACTAAGACAGACATTCCTACACAGGTTTTATCCGATGAGCAATGATGTTTGAAACTTGTCTCTCTGACTCGCCACTTTTGGCCAGCTCTCCGCGAGTGCTGGACGCGGAACGTCCGAGTGCTCATAAACGTGAAAACAAATAGGAACAAGATGGAACATGGTGGAACAGCTTTTCTTTTTGGGGGGTAGGCCGTGTAGAGGGAGGTAGGTTAGCTAGTTTGGTAGCTAGTAGAAGCAAACGTTAGCTAGCTAGTAGCTTAAGTAGCTACTACCTTGGACGCAGGATAGCTTGCGCTATTCATTTGGTTCCTAGATTTTTAGGGAAAGACATGGAAAGACGTGCCGCTGAATTAAAGAGCTTTTGCCTGTATCCATCCTGTGGTTTCCATCTACGATTGAAACTATATGAAGCTATATATAGAGGCAAGCATAAAGTTGGGCACGCCCGAATTTCAGCTACACACACAATCATATTATACTGTATACTATTGAATGTATATATATATATATATCTGCTTCAACTAAAACTACTCCACTGAATTTCGAGACCAAACTTTCGTGAATCTGCATTGGTAGTCCGTCATCGTCTCTTAGCTATCAATTTGAGCCAAGCTTTTAGCGTCAGGGTATTTCACGGTATTTCATTATTTTCATGACCGGCCTTTTCATGATTTTCATTGCAAGTTATGAACCTTTGATGTTCTTCACATCTCGCGACTTGTCAACGCTCAGGCCTCTTGGCACAGACCAGGAGCTGTCACCTTTGAGGGCTGACTCGCCCTGGGAACTGCGCGCGCCTTACTTTCATGTCGCTTCGTTTGTTGGGAATTGTCAGGGTTCATTTTGCGAAGCAGAATTTTGGCCTCGCCTCAAAGAAATAGATACCTCGCACAATTTGCTCAATCATTAAAGCTCAGTTTGCACTTAGTGTAACATTGTGAACATTTGCAGTGCCAAGCAAGGCCAGCTTTCCTGGACCTCTTCGGCATCTTTTATACATGTAGTTCGTTCAGGGCTCAGGGAAACGGAAAACGACGGGAGATGGCATACAGTTCATTAGAACTCATGACAGTCTGGTTTCTACTTGTGTCTTGGATTCGTTCATAGAAATGGTACAAACATGAAAGTGATGAGTCGATGAGGTCCAAACGTGATGACTCACCTGGCTCTATTCGCATGTATTGATTTGGCGACCCAATGACCGTCGCCCAAATTCGGTTGCAAACCGTTTGCACGCGTTGCACGGAACCGGTCCGGTGCTCAAGCCGGCAAGCAGTCGAAAAATGAGGGGCACAAGAAATCAGCCAGCCGAAATACGCTACAACCTTTGGGGGTTGTTTCCGCCTTCATCTCACAAAAGATTAAGGAACCCTCACTTTACTGCTTACTTTCTACTGGTAGCTTCCCTGCTGCCCCTAGCTTCTTCAAGCTACAGCCTAGCTGCAAGATCCACGGCACTGCCCACCCGTCAACAAAGACAGGAGATAGGAAAACCAAGTTCTAAAGGCAGGATGCTGAAGTAAGAGGATCTTAGTTTTATATAGTAATAGTAGGACACTCAATAGGACTTGCGTAAAGTAGCAAGTTCGCAAGTGGAGACTGTGACCGGTGTGATGTTTGCAACGCAACCGTTTGGCTCAAGGGCCGGGGAAATGGCAGGCTAAAGGAACCCACCATGTCGGGATCTCAGTGCATGTGTATAGGGACCCTCCAAAGCGTTTCAGAGATACAACCAGAAGGACTCAATAGGAAGCATACAAACATCCCGCAACATCCCGCAACAATTGTTTGTCATGATTATTGCCAACGTTTTTTCCTCTCGTTGTTTTCAGATGTGATGGTTCCCAGTCTTAAACCCCTGGCTGCTTGCATGCAACGCACCGACGCACCCCTGACAGCTCTTGTGAATACTCCACGCACACATTCGGGTCAAACATCGCCGCATTGGGCAATTCCATTTACTATATATGTACAGCAGTGTAACAAAATACATTCAAGACTTGAGCTCTTTGGGGATCCCCTTATAGCAATCCCTTCTTTATCATTCTTTCACACTCTGATGATGCGAGATGTACTGATGTGATATGATGTGATGGGTGCTGCTGTGCTAAACTGGTCAGTTCTTGAAGCACATCTTCTTTCTTGGGTGCACAAGTCACAACACCGCCCCAGGACTGGGATGCGCGGCATGATATGTGCCGTGGTGGCACTCCTGGTCAGTTTCCCAGAGCCTAGGTTCTCACATTGTGCGAAGAGCTGAGTGCTTAACCGGGTGTTGAACATGACAATCTGATACAATCTGAACATGAGTCAGTTTCATTTTCTTTCCCTCACCCACATTTCCTTCCGCAGAATCTCAGCATCAATTGGATGTGGGAGTCTGGGTGTATGCATCAAGTGAACTTGTTCATTCTACACGACCGGTTCATCACCAAAGCACCTGTTCTTTGCAAGATCATCAAGCTTTGGCATGTTTGTGGTTGCCGCGAACATGGTGGTATCATCAGAATATGGTGTGAATCAACAGCGTTTGCAGTGGATGCCATCGCAATGGCAGCAGCACGAAAGCTGGTGCTCCATTTTGACGTGAATGAAACCATAATGGTTGGAGATCCAGCGTCCGGTGTTGATTTTGAATCTTCACTTAACCACATACTGGCCAAGGTCGCTTTTCTTGACAAAGATAACAAGGATTTCTGGCACGATGGAACTCCATTGGATCTTGCAAAACGAAAAGACGGTGAGATTCCGCCCTTGTTGACCAACTTTGATGCGGAAACTGGGCCAGTCCTGAAGTGCTACGAGGCAAACCGGAAGAATGCCTTGTGGCCACCATCAAAATTCACTGACCCTGGCCTGCCAGGAGAGATTTATCGCCCGCTCTTTGAGGAATTGAAGCAACAGTTGCAGTGGAAGGCTTCAAAGAACGAAGTCTTTGCTCCAGATGGCCATCATTTTTTGCTGCCTGCGTTCTTCCATACTCTCGCAGAGTTAGAAAAGCAAGGCAGAGATTTTACCTTGGTAATTAGGACCTTCGGGACAGATTTGCCGGAAGTCGCTCGGTGCTTGCAAGCCTTTGCCCGAGGAGAACATCCAGATTTTCCGCAGAAGTTTGAGCGCTTTGGCTTAGCTTTGGAGGATGCGCTGTGGGTTTTACGTCGGGAGGACCGCTCCGATGTCCAGAGCCCAATCTACTTGCGGCGTTATGAGGAGCATTTGGGGAAGGAAGGCTTAGGCCAAGACATGTCTGCACCTGACCGCGTGAGCTATACTGACGAGCTTGGCCCTGATGAGAAGGTGGTTGATTTCATCGCACCCAAGCCTGTGCTTGCCATCAGAGATGACTACCATCACTGGCGCAAGATGCGATATGTACCAGAGTCCGGAAAGCCGCTGTGGATTTCATTAGATGATGATGTGCAGCACATTTTCTTTGACGACAATATTCACAACAAGGCCCATGACTCCATTGTGGCTGTTCGGGCTCGCAAGTCTTCGAGTGAACCGTTTCGAGCTGTCTCCGGGGAGGTGACAAGGTTGCTCGAAGGAGTGCTACTTGTAAAGGCGCATCCAGTGACCTTGCCTAACGCTTTAGTATGCTTTCGTCACAATTGTGGAAGTATACAGTTCCTGGCTGAAATGCTACGTATGTTCAATGCACACAATTCAATGCGCTAAAAAACAAAACCTTCCGCATCCATGACTAGCACAACAGCTTTGCGGAGCTGCATGTTGCTTGTATTGCAGTATTCTTTGTGGGGGTTGTAATTTTGATTAATGTTGTATAATTTGGTTAATCCAACGAAATTCATGCTATGAATTTCAGAATCTGACAGTTGTGCCGGTAGCCAGACAAGTCCTTTCCAAATCCCAGGTGGAGGCAATCCGCGACAAGGATTATTTCTTGCGTGAAATCCAACGATGTGAGGAGAAGTTCGAGCTGATGTCGAAGCATGGTAGCCTGCGAGGGCTCTTGCAACCTGCCTAGCAGCACTTACACACCAGCAAATCCCATCAAACCTATATCACGCCGTTGAGACCCTTCTGTGGTTCGTGCAGCTTCCGGCTTGTGCAAGAGGAAGATGGAAAAGGACATCGGTGCGGCGGTCGGAGTCGTGTGCAGAATAAACTTGCACGGGAGAACAACACTGACTCGATGAATGTGGGCGAGCTGTGTACCATCTGATACCCCAGTGCGACATAAGTGACATAAGTAAGGCAAACCGGCAACGCAAACAACAATGCATGGGATGGACATCAAACAAGAAAAATCATCAAGCATCAAGCATCAGTGCTTTATTTATGAACCTCCATTTGACAAGGGTGTTGATCCAGTTGTGGATTGCGATTTGGACAGATGTGTTGGGGAGATATGCCTTTGGACAATGCACACTCGCTTGTTATGCATAGCTGCATATTATATTTATACAATTTGCTTGCGCTTTTGCTTGTTCCACTGCAGCGAATGAGGTGCTTGTGGAAGCAGCTTTCGATGATGACCAAGAGATCCAGGTTAGTCGCTCCCCGAGGTCTGCGTAACGGCAAAGGAGGCCGACCTATCGATTTCCACTGGCACCAGACACAGATGGTTCAGATGAGGCATGAACAAAGTCTGGCCATACTCCAATCCAACAGAGACGTTCGCCTGGCATGCTTTTCAAGCTTGCTAGCTTGCTCAGCTTTGTCTCAGGTATGGCTGTTGTTGCTGGATGTTGATGGTGGTGATTGGACGGGCCACAATATTGAGGGTGCCTGAGTGGCAGGTACGAGTACTATGACTTCCCATTCTGCAAGCCCAAGACCGTTATGCCTCACTTTATGACCCTTGGTCAGGTCAGGAGCTCAAGTTGCTTTGCCCTAGGGCTACCCAATTTTAGTGGGCATCGTACATGGGCAACATTAACATGCATCATCATACTTCATCGTGCGGTATTGCCAAAAGATAGATTTCTTGTATGCTGCAGATATGATTCTCGGCAGGATCCTGTGAGGATCAAGCTTGTTTTGCCTTGCGCACATGAGTCTTTTTGTTATTGTAGTGAGCTGACCTAAGATGCTGACACCGGCTTTCTACCATCAGTGGTTGAGAGTTACTCCTGAGGTCCTGCGAGGTGATAGATTAGCAACTCAGCTCAAAGCTACTCTTGGTCGCCCTGAGTTGCTTTTGCCCTATTTGATGCTGCTGCTGCGGCCCCGCAAAAACTCGTTTTCCCATGCTGCAAAGCAACTTTGTTAAACACATGGTTTCTTGGCGCAATGAAACTGCTACGAAGCTGCTTTTCCCTAAACTGCTTCAGGTGAATTCACTGTATCCAATGCATATGAAGCGACAGGTCCCAAGGACCGTGATTTGCCAAAGGCAGGTGTTTGTTTTGTTAGTTGATTTATTTCATTCTGTTCCTGTTTTCTCGTAAGGCCGCTCCTACTCAATTAAGTAAGCACCTACTTCATTAAGTAAGGGCGACTAGGTCGCTCCTAGCAATACTTTAGCTTCTAGTGATTTGGTCCCTAGGATTTTAGGGAAACTTAACTTGATTCGCAACACAAATCAGTGTATTTTTGACCTCATTAGCAGCTCGTTTGCTTTTGCATCACTTCACAAGTAATTAGTGCTCTGGAAATCTTTTCCCTGAAGCTTGTTCTTATTTTCTGTGCTCGAGGATTTCGGGTAGGTAAGCAGATGTTTGCCTCATATATGCTTGCACCCTGCTGTGGCTCTCCTGAGCAAAGCATGGGCAGCACAAGTATTTTGTGACAACATTACAAATGGGACTTAAAGTTGAAAGGTCCTCAAGCAGGCTTGGTCAGATTAACAAGGTGCACAAGAGTGCATTTGTTGGGCAGGCCCATGAGCGAAATGGACATCCTGAAATTCAAGGCACCTGAGCCAATGATTTGAGAGGCTGCTGTATTGGCTTTAGTTATATATGTACACAAATGACGCATGTGACCAAGAGCTAAGATGAGCTAAGACTTGTGAGAGGGTGAAGACGGTACTAGTCTCAATTCGCGATTATAGACCACTACATGTACACCAAGCCCATCAAGCCATGAACAAAGAGGGTCAAAGAGGATCAGGTTAACAAGCACCAAGATTGGATTTTGTCAAGTCTTAATTAATATCCACATGGGTGTTAACACTGGTGAGGAAGACTTGAGATTTCCTTGGCATGCACTTTTCACTTTGAGCTTTGGCGCTGTCAATCACGCTGCAGTCAGCCATAGATCAGAACTACATGTTTGAGCTCTTCGTTGGGGAGCTTCCCATTGCCAGCTCCTTACCTGACGACCGTCACCCTAGCCTAGACCTGGTACTGGCTTCTCAAAAGCTTTCAGTTTTTTAGGCATTGCATGGAACACATTGTTTTGATGTGTTTCAAACACGTTGCACCATCTTGTTGGGCTTGAGCATGCAATCAGCCACCTACGGGACCTGTGTTGAACAATAGAAAGCACTCATATGGATAGGGGCATTTTTAACATATAAACAAACGTAAGAAAACGGTTCGAGGGAAAGCCAACAGGAACACCAAGGTAGCCTATATTACATAAGTAATCACTTTTCGAAAGGCTATTTTGCTGTCTTTTGGTTGCCTTTTTTGCACCTTTCCCTGACCCTGTGCGTAGCGTTTGTTTGCCTTTACTTTGCTTTTTGTGCCCTTGAGTTGTGTTGCTGACTTGTTTGAAGGGCTTTTGTCCGTCGCAACGTTTCTTTTCAAGTCTTATCAACACCTACATGTATGTAACAGGTATATAATATATGTATCATTGATTGTATCATGGGGACTGTAAGACATGCGAGTGAATTTTCTAGCAGTAGCAGCTGCTGTTGTTGCTGATTGAGTCATGCCTTGTGCAAATGTGCAAATTTCTACTCTAGGTGTCAGGACAAATATATATAATTGTGGGCAAGAGCAAATAGAGACCAGATGCGGCAAGTGTATAAACACATGCTTCAGATTGTTTCAGACTTTAAGTATGTTTGGTCAAGTTGTACGGTTGGTTGCATCACTTGATGGTGTCAAGCTTTCAAGAATTATGCAAGGACAGACCCTTCGGGGTGAAGTCTTCGATGGGAGTTGAAGACGCAGAAGCTCCAGAAAGGCCATTTTACACCTGGAAAAAATTGCTGCTCCTGCCGAGTTGTCCCTTTTTGCTTCCTTTTGCATGCAAGACAAGATTGTTCAACTTTCTTTAACTTCAAATGCATCCTTTCTACTTACACCTTTGACATTGTGGGTATCATTTTCTGACTTCAGCTCTCATTGTTGTCGCATGTTGTCGCCAATGGCAAGTTGTGTGTTTGATGGCTTCAATAGATCAGATACTTCCTGGTGAACTACTTGGATTTTATCATTGGCTACAATGAGAGAGAGGCGGGCAAGATACGTGGTGGATGCAAACGCCTTTTCGGGGGACTCTGATACTGATTACAGACTTGCCTTTTTGGTCACTCCAGGTGGTGTCTGCAAATGTGACCCGAGAGTTGATGTCTTAGATGCGAGTCGACCATTCTCAAAAGTCCACTTTGATTTGCATGGTTGGAGGCCATAGCTAGTAGATTGGAGGCCAT